CAGGCAATCCACTCACCTCAGCCTCCCAAGGCGCGGGATTACAGGCTGAGTCACCAAGCTGCCGGGACTTCTCTTTTTCGACACACCCTTCCTCCCTCCCAGCCTCATGATATCATCCACTCTGCCCTGATTGTAAAAAGAGCCTTTCAACTTGCTTCCCTGCCTCCAAATTCAGTCTGTGCCAAGCCACATTCCACACCACTGACATCTAAACGGCAAAACTGGACGTGTCTGGGTCCTGGGTAGCAAGTTACAAGTGATTCCCACAGCTTTCGCGATACAAAGCCCTTCACAGGGAGGCTCCATCTTAACTTTCCAGTCCAGCCTCAGTTTCCTTCTTCACTACCCATCACCACCAGCACGGCCCCCCTACCCCCTACCCCCAACCGCCCCCACCGCCCCCCATCCCCAAAACACACACTTTTCCCAGGTAAAGTAATTTCCCTTGCCTTGCTTAAGTGAAGAGTAGGAAGCGAGAACTGGAGAATCTTGTCCTGGGACAAAGGATAGACAAAGCTTGGAATGGACCTCACAGGTCTAAGGAAATTCCTCTCTGTGTAGGTCGCTGAACAAGGCCCGGAATCCCGGCTCCTGTAATCTCTGTAATCTGGAAAGAGTGAATGCTGGAAGCCCTCTCCAAGCAGCTGACCAAAGGCTTCTGTATGCAACGCATCCCCATGCTTGTCTCCAAGGACTTCCCAAGGTCAAAGCAAACTTCTCCTGGCTTTTCCTCACTGGGCTGAGCCTGGCTCACTCACCGCCAATGCCTCTCTGCCCAAGGCGGCCGCCCACATATGGCTTTTCTGGGGGCCCTAGGGAGTGTGAGGGGCGCTGAAGAGTGGATGGCTAGGAGCGCTCTGGGACAGAGGCTCTGCTCAGGCGCCCAAAGACAGCTGAGCCCCGACACCTACCCACAGGGACTGAGCTCTGTGTCTATTCTGAGGCCAGCTCAGGAGACCACGGGGACAGGAGGTGTTACGGGATGAAGAGGAGAAGAGAAATGCCAGGGTCAGAGGGGAGGAGCTACCGGAATGGAGGCGTGGGCACGGTCCCGAAAGTACACACACAGGGACACTTGTGCTCGCGCGCAGCCGCACTAACCCCAAGGGAATCCAGCGCTTTTTCAGGGAGTGCCTCTCGCGTTCTGATGCTGCCTCCTTGTGGTAAGATCGGCAGCCTCATGGCCTTCACTGGGCTCTGAGGATGTAGCCTTAAGCAGTTCCCAACTTTTTGGCATCAGGGACCCGGTTTCGTGGAAGACAATTTTTCCACGGACCCGGTGGGGGAGTGGTTTAGGGATGATTCAAGCACATTACATTTATTGTGCAGACAGTGGCGGCATTCGATTCTCATAAGGCACGTGCAACCTAGATCCCTCACATACACAGTTCACAATAGGGTTCACGTGCCTATGAGAAAATAATAAACTTTCTTCTTAGCACTGTTTTTGCTGTACTCCAGAGGATTGGGATGCTATGTTTATCTTTTCTTGTGTTTCATCTTTTTTTAAATTTTATTCTTAATTTATTCATTCACCCCAAAATTGTTCAGGAACAGGTTGTTTAATTGCCATGTATATGTACATGTTCCTCTTGGCATTGATTTCTAGTTCTATTCAACTGTGATGTGATAAGGACTTTATATTTTTTAAAATACCTAGAAACATATTTAACCAAGGAGGTGAAAGAGCTCTACAAAAAAAACTACAAAACACTGATGATAGAAATTGTGAATGACACAAACAAATGAAAAAAATTCCATTCTCATGAATCAATATCATTAAAATGGTCATTCTGCCCAAAGCAATCCACAAATTCAATGCAATCCCTATCACAATACCAACATTATTTTTCACAGAATTAGAAAAAAATACTAAAATGCATATGGAACCAAAAAAGAGCTCAACTAGTCAAATATTTCAATATTTGTATTGCCTCTTTTAATAGACTATAAGAGGTAGATAAAAAGCTTAAGCACCTAATGTGGGAGCCCTGATTTTTAAATGCACTACTTAAAGTGCAGCGACGTTCACTTGGATCTTTCCACTGTATTTTTAAATTTTATTCAGTAATATTTTTTCCTTTTTGTGTGTGTGTTTGCTGATTTGGGAGCCTAATACTTACACATGTATAGGTGGGCATACCCAGAAAGTGGAGTAATTCTTCATAAATTAAGAATTTAATTGTTATATTTAATCTTGGCTTTGACTCTCAGAACCCTTTGATCAATTTAGCCAATGATTTTCCCTACATAAATACACAAAATGAAAGAACACAAAAATCCCTGCAAATTTTTGAAAGCTAGAGTTTGCAACTCCTGCAGTACTGTTATTTATTCCCACTTTCTGTCTCACCCAGACAGACATTTAAGGAGTCTAACTGAATCCAATTCAGCTGGTTATCAAATCCAATCTAATCCTGAAATCAGTCCGTTTCTGCCATGCCTTCCAAAGCCAGTTTGGATAAAAAATTTGCTCAAATTTAG